CAACAGGCTGGGCATGGTGGCTCATGCCTATAATCCCAGAACTTTGGGAGGCTAAAGCAGGTAGCAGTCCCAGCTGCATGGCAGGCTGAGGCAGGAGAATCACTTGAACCCAGGAGGCAGAGGTTGCAGTGAGTTGAAATCGCTCCATTGCACTCCAGCCTGGGCAACAGAGCAAGACTGAGGCTCAAAAAAAAAAAAAAAAAAAAAAAAAAAAAAAACACGTCTCAATAAACTAGGTACTATCGATGGAACATGCCTCAACATAATAAAGCTATTTAGAACAAACCCACAACCAATATCATAATGAATGGGCAAAAGCTGGAAGCATTCCCTTTGAAAACTGGCACACGACAAGGATGCCGCCTCTCACCACTTGTATTCAACATAGTATTGGAAGTTATGGCCAGAGCAGTCAGGCAAGAAAAAGAAATAAAGTATTCAATTTGGAAAAGAGGAAGTCAAATCGTCTCTATCTGCAGCTAACATGATTATATATTTAGAAGACCCCATCACCTCATCCCAGAATCTCCTTAAGCTGATAAGCAACTTCAGCACAGTCTCAGGATACAAAATCAGTTAGAATGGCAATCATTAAAAAATCAGGAGACAACAGATGCTGGAGAGGATGTGGAGAAATAGGAACACTTTTACACTGTTGGTGGGAGTGTAAATTAGTTCAACCATTGTGGATGATAATGTGGCGATTCCTCAAGGATATAGAACTAGAAAAAGCCTTTGACCCAGCAATCCCATTACTGGGTATATACCAAAGGATTATAAAACATTTAATTATAAAGACACATGCACACGTATGTTTACTGTGGCACTGTTTACAATAGCAGACACTTGGAACCAACCCAAATGCCCATCAATGTCAGACTGGAGAAAGAAAATGTGGCACATTTACACCATGTAATACCATGTAGCCTTAAAAAAGGATGAGTTCATGTCCTTTGCAGGGATATGAATGAAGCTGGAAACCATCATTCTCAGCAAACTGACACAAGAACAGAAAACCAAACACCGCATGTTGTCACTCATAAGTGGATGTTGAACAATGAGAACACATGGACACAGGGAAGGGAACATCACACACTGGGGCCTGTTGGGGGTTGGGGGGAACTAGGAGAGGGATAGCACGGGGATAGGGGTATTGGGGAGGGCTAACATTAGAAGAAATACCTAATGTAGATGGGGGGGGGATCTATGCAGCAAACCACCAAGGCACGTGTATACCTATGTAACAAACCTGCACGATCTGCACGTGTACCCCAGAACTTAAAGGATAATAAAAAAATTAAAAATTTAGATCCGAGGGGAAAAGAGCTCTCTAACTGCCCTTCTGCTTTTAATATAATTTGAAAATAGCTGCAACCCAATCCACCCTCTTGGTGGTTCAGAAATGCCACCGTTTTTGTTTGGTTGGTTTTGTTGTTCATAGATTAGTTCACATATACAATGATTAGAAATACATGACTGGGCTGAGCACAGTGGCTCACACTGGTAATATGAGCACTTTGTGAGGCTGAGCCCAGGAATTCCAAACCAGCCTGGGCAACATAGGAAGACCCCATTTCTACAAAAACCTTAAAAATTATCCAGGCATTGTGGTGCACACCTGTAGTCCCCAGCTACTCCAGAGGCGAAAGTGAGAGGATCATTTGAGCCTGAGACATCAATGCTACAGTGAGCTGTTATAGTGCCACTACATTCCAGCCTGGGTGGCAATGCAAAACCCTGTCTCAAAAAAAATTTTTTAATAAAAAAATAAATATATGACTGAAAAATGTAATAATGCTGCATAGCTTATATCCATCTCGGTCCCTCTTTCTGTCTTTCTCTTGTGCTTTTTAAGATTGAAGTAAAACTCCATAATATGCAATTCATAATTTTAATCATTTTTAAAGTATACAATTCAGGGATTTTCAGCATATTCACAGTGTTACACAATCAAAACCACTATCTAATTTAAGAACATTTTCATCACCCAAAAAAGAAACCTCATACCCATTAGCAGTCCTTCCTCATTCCCCTCTGACCCCAGCCCCTGGTAACCACTAATTTACCTTGTCTCTATGTTATTTGTCTACCCTGGGCATGTCATATAAATGGAATCATTCCGTACATGGCCCTTTGTGTCTGGCTTCTTTCCTTTGCATAATGTTTTTAAGGTTCATCTATGTTGAAGCATGTATTAGTGCTTCATTATTTATGGTTGAATACTATTCCATTGCATGGATATACCACATTTTATTAATTCAGCAATTGAGGGATATTTGGGTTGTTTCTAATTTTTGGCTATTGTAAATAGTGCTGCTACAAATGTTCATGCACAATCTTTGGTTTAAATATGTTTTCAATTTTGAGGAGCAAATAGAGGTGGAATTGCTGACTCTTATAGTCATTCTAGTTTAAATTTTTTGAGGAATCACCAAATTTTTTTTTTTGCTGCATCATTTTCTTATTCCCATTAACAACGTATGAGTGTTCTAATTTCCCCACTTTCACACTAACATTTAATTTCTGCTTTTAAAAATTTTATTATAGCCATGCTAATGGGTGAAATGTAGCATCTCATTGTTAGTATCTTTGTACGGGTAAATAATCCATCATAGAAACCACTGCAAAAGGAAAGACAAAAAAAGCATTCTCACCTCAGGTCTTAAGTTTTCTTAAGGTTTTGTATATGTTTTGTATATGTTTTGTATATGAGGCCGCAAAATTGAGAGAAGTTTTCCCTAAGATGAGCTACAAGTGAACTTAATGAAATTCTGAACAACAGAGCTACTTTTCAATGACTCCCATCAGACTCGCCAAAGAGCAACCATGATCAAAGCCAAGACATCTAAATAATGACTTTTGAAATGCAAGCTCCCAGAGGTACAGATAGTTGTCTTCAGTCAGTGACTGGCAGAGGCATCTAAACCATTATATGAGGTTTGGCTAGTAAACTGCTCTTCTGGGATTCTGGGGCAATACTCACGTCCTTTTTTGAAAATAATGAACATTTATTTTCTCTACTTATGTGGTGAGTTTGTAAAGGAAAAATAAATATAACTAAACACCAACTCTACATTCTACTTTAAAGAAGGCAATTTGTTCAGGTAACACAATGGGTTAAAACAGTTTGAGCCTTATGAAACTTCAAATTCCGTCCTAGTACATTTCTCATTAATAATTAAGTGTCCCTTGCAGACATTCCTATGTCTGTCGTCATTTATTTTAATATTTGATTGCTATCATCAACACACTACAGAAGTTATTATTTCCTTTTCAAGACAGTTTCAAGAACTAGAACACATACATTATATGTAAGTGATTACCCGGATAAAGCACTAGGGCATTAGGAATTATACTTTTTTGTTTTTAATTTCTGCATCCATTTCTTCATTCTAGACTGGTACAAATAGCCTTCATGAGGAGTTTAACCTCTCCTTGCAGTAAAGCTACTGAGAGGAGGGAAAGAGAGACTCATAGTACAGCGGGCAGGCTCAGCCTGGTTGAGGAAAAGGAGAAGCCGAGAAGGCAAAGCTGGAAGGAGGCAGAGCAGTAAGCTCCTGCGGGTCAGTCTTCCTGTGAACAGGCAAGTTTCAGGTAAAGATTTGCAGGGATCTTACCCAGCAAAGCAGCGTTTTTGAAAAGGAACAAGGGAGTTGCAAGAAGTGTGATTCCTCCTTCCACAGGAACAGTTGGAAAGCCATAGCGAGCCTAGGGTAGGAATGATGAGAAGTCCCAGGGATTGTTTAAAATCCTGATAATCGAACATCCATTCTTTCTTACCATTTTGATTACTAAATGAAGTCAGCGAGCTTCAGGCTTGCCTACACTGATCCATCTTAATGATTTGGGCATGACAACCAGCGCCAGGTCACACACCAAGCTTCAGAGAAAGCTGACATCCTAGCACTTCCTGGAAAAATTCGCATGTCGCCCTGCTACCTGGGGTTGGTGACAGGTCTGATCAATGCAAGGCGCCACTCCCCAACCCCCATTAGAAGAGCTGTTGTCCCGCCCGCCCGAGACTTTAACTCTCCTCTCCCTGAGCCTGCCAACTCTCCAGGGTACAAAGTACAGCAGGGACGCGGGCGGAGCCCTTCTAAGCGGGAAAGCCTTATCTTTCTCGAGTGAATACCTAGGTGGATTTCCAACACCGCACCTGGCATGTTCTGGAGGGAGTCTCAAGCTCCTCCAGAGCTCCCTGCCGGGCGTCCTCATTTCTGCAGTCGATATTCCTGTGGGAGACGCGGGGGGGCTCTGAGCGCTACGAGCTTTATTAAGAGATTTGCAGTGGTTCACTCGGGTCCCTGAATACTCCCAACACCCTAAGCTGCCTGCGGTGTTACAGCGCAGAAGCCCGTAAAGCAGGGTGGTTGCCGCTTCTTCCCTTAAGGCTCGAGGCTTAGGGTCACTTTCCGCGACTCTGAGAGTAATTGCGTGGGTACCAGTTCTGGGGCCAGACCCCAAGAGGGGAGCTGGACTGTACGAAGAACGTCAGCCTGCTACCAGACTGCACATGCCCTTTGCACCAGCCATCTAAGCCTCAGTCTGGAGGTTGCGCGCTCCCGGTAAGGAGGAACCAGAGCTTCCCCGGCGGGTCTGAGCTGCAGGGCAAGCGGCGACGGGAGTTTAAGGTTCTGGACTGAGGGACTGGAAAGGAGCTGGGGTCTCCAGAGAAAAGGGCAGCAACGGAAGAAAACTGAGATGAACTCCAGACATCCATGTTCATGGGTCCCTTTGAGTCTTTGCTTTCAGTAGGAGAGGAGTGGGATGGGACAGAATCTATACCTTTGGTTCCCGCCCACCCTCCAGTAAGGCCGAGGAACCCCCTGGTTCCTCTGAGAGAAAGGCAGACGGTGCTGTGAAGGAGCCCCGGAAGCAGCCACTTTAGTTGAGCAGTGTGCAGGACTGGGAAGGAAAAAAAAGGGAGGAGGAGGGACATGCCACCTAGGTGCTCTCCTCCCTCTCTTTCTCCACCCCACCCCCTTTTTTCGTAGCTGCTGACGTGCTGGTGGTGCCTATTAATCATTCACCAGCCCAGAGCCGCGCCAGTTAATGGCTGTGCCGCGAGGGGCTCCTGCATCCTGGCCTCCCCTCTCCACCGTCCTGTGTGCCCAGGCAACCAGAGCGGCAAACGGCAGCGCCCAGGCAACCGCTGGGCTGCGCGCCCCGCTGGCGCCGGTAGGAGCCGCGCTGCCTGCAGCAGTTGCGCTCTATCCATAGGCGCTGGGCGGCTGTGGGCTGCAGGCTCCGCTGGGTGCGGAGGGAGGGTGCAGGCAGCGGGGGCGCAAGGAGAGCGCCCCAGCCCTGGCAGCCCCACTGGCCCCCCTCAGCTGGGATGTTCCCCAATGGCACCGCCTCCTCTCCTTCCTCCTCTCCTAGCCCCAGCCCCGGCAGCTGCAGCGAAGGCAGCGGCAGCAGGGGTCCCGGGGCTGGCGCTGCGGACGGCATGGAGGAGCCGGGGCGAAATGCGTCCCAGAATGGGACTTTGAGCGAGGGCCAGGGCAGCGCCATCCTCATCTCTTTCATCTACTCTGTGGTGTGCCTGGTGGGACTGTGTGGGAACTCTATGGTCATCTATGTGATCCTGCGCTATGCCAAGATGAAGACGGCCACCAACATCTACATCCTAAATCTGGCCATTGCTGACGAGCTGCTCATGCTCAGCGTGCCCTTCCTGGTCACATCCACGCTGTTGCACCACTGGCCCTTCGGTGCGCTGCTCTGCCGCCTCGTGCTCAGCGTGGACGCGGTCAACATGTTCACTAGCATCTACTGTCTGACTGTGCTTAGCGTGGACCGCTACGTGGCCGTGGTGCATCCCATCAAAGCGGCCCGCTACCGCCGGCCCACCGTAGCCAAGGTAGTGAACTTGGGTGTGTGGGTGCTATCGCTGCTCGTCATCCTGCCCATCGTGGTCTTCTCTCGCACCGCGGCCAACAGCGACGGCACGGTGGCCTGTAACATGCTCATGCCAGAGCCCGCTCAACGCTGGCTGGTGGGCTTCGTGTTGTACACCTTTCTCATGGGCTTCCTGCTGCCCGTCGGGGCTATCTGCCTGTGCTACGTGCTCATCATTGCCAAGATGCGCATGGTGGCCCTCAAGGCCGGATGGCAGCAGCGCAAGCGCTCGGAGCGCAAGATCACCTTAATGGTGATGATGGTGGTGATGGTGTTTGTCATCTGCTGGATGCCTTTCTATGTGGTGCAGCTGGTTAACGTGTTTGCTGAGCAGGACGACGCCACGGTGAGCCAGCTGTCGGTTATCCTCGGCTATGCCAACAGCTGCGCCAACCCCATCCTCTACGGCTTTCTCTCAGACAACTTCAAGCGCTCTTTCCAACGCATCCTGTGCCTCAGCTGGATGGACAACGCCGCGGAGGAGCCGGTTGACTATTATGCCACCGCACTCAAGAGCCGTGCCTACAGCGTGGAAGACTTCCAACCTGAGAACCTGGAGTCCGGCGGCGTCTTCCGTAATGGTACTTGCACGTCCCGGATCACGACACTCTGAGCCAGGGCCACGCAGGGGCCCTGCGCCCGAAGAGCAGGGAAGGCCGGGTGCCTCTGGCGGAAGGACCCAGGAAAGGCGCGCAACAATGGTATAAGTGAGAGTTTTACTTATAAACTGGGAAGACTTTCAGGCTACCTTTTTCTGGATCTCCCTCTTTCGGTTCCTTCCTCCACTGCGCTTACTCCTCTGACACTCTATTTTCCCCACCCTGCAACTTCGATCCTTTCTTCGCACCGTCCCGCCAGTGCAGATCACGAACTCATTACCAACTCAGTCCGATCCTCGGCTCCTCCAGACGTTATTTGCTTGTTTAAGCTGGGCCAGGAATACCGCCATGGGTTTCCCTCGGGGTTAGTCCCTAGCTCTCCTTCAGCCCCGCCTAGCCATGCTGGGCCGCGTCCGGGTTCTGCCTGGTTCCCCTACTGGAGTCTCGGGAATGACCGCGCAGCCCTACCTTAAGGAAAGTCGTACTTGAGAAAGATCTAGGCAGCTGGTCATTTCTCCTACTCTTGAGTGAAGGCGCACCCTTCCCTGCCCGCTCCCCACCACTCTCACTCCACCCAGAGTGGAGCCAGGTGCTTCGTAAATAGGTCCCGCGCTTTGAACCCCAGACTTTCTGGAATCCCCATCCAAGCCCTCCTTTGGAGCAAAAAGGAGCTGAGAGCAAGTCGCAGGAGGAGTTTTTATTAGTCTGCGGGATCGGATTGGGGGCTTGTAATAGGAATCACCCTCCTGCTGGGCGTTTTCAAAGACCTGCGCTCTGGGGGCGTGCCTGTTCTGCTACCTGCGAGGCAGGGAAGTGCAGGGCGCACCTTCCCCTTCCCCGGGGTTTGGCTGCGGGGGCTGCAGCTCGGCTTGGCTTTCTCTCTCACCCAAGCTTCTGGAGGAGCAGACTTAAAAGTAACAAGAAACGGGTTTCCTGCTCTGGTGTATCTCAAAAGACCCGGCGCCCGGCACCCGGGAAGGGGGACCTAGGGGCAACGTCTTCAGAGTCCGCCAGTGTTGGCTGTGACGCCGCAACCTGCAGGCTCCAGAGTGCCGCCTGTCTGGCCTCTGAGGGTTGCTGCCTTTCAAGCGGTGCCTAAGAAGTTATTTTCTTGTTTAACATACGTATTTATTAATTTATTTGTGATGTTGGAAAATGTGTCTCTGCTTTCCTTTTCTCTGCTTGCCTAGGCCCAGGTCTTTTCTTTGGGACCCTGGGGTGGGCACGGAAGTGGAAGTCGGGGCAATCTCTCCCACACTTCCTGGGCTTTTCAAAGCCACTCTTCTTCGCTGGGCCCTTTTGTCTTATCCTTTATTCCAGCTTTTCTATTTTTGATTGTGTTGAGTGAAATTTGGAGATTTTTCATACTTTTCTTATTATAGTCTCTTCTTTGTCTCGTTAGAATAATAAATGATAATGTGGGTTATCCTCTTCTCAATGCACAATGGAAAGTTCTGAACTCCTGGCTTTCCAGGAGACATATATAAGGGAACATCACCCTATATATTATTTGAGTGTATATATATTAATACATATATGATGTGGACATATATATACTTGTTTATCTGCTCCATTGTCATAAGTCCATGAGTCTAAGTATAGCCACTAGTGGTGACAGGTGTGAGTCTGGCTGAACACTTTCAGTTTCAGGAGTTCAAGCAGCACTCGAACCTGGAGCAGAGGAATCTAATTCAGACAGAGACTTCAATCACTGCTGAAGATGCCCCTGCTTCCTCTAGGTTCCAGCAGAGGGGATTCTTACATATGATCCAGTTAACATCATCACTTTTTTTTGAGGACATTGAAAGTAGAATAATTTGTGTCTGTGTTTAATCTTATCAACTACATTGGAAGCCTGAGCAGGGTGAGGACCAGTAATTTTAATTCTCTGTATTTCCTGCATTGCTTTAGTATGCTGGCTTGTACATCGTAGGCACTAAATACATGTTTGTTGGTTGATTTGTAAGCCAGAGTGTTTTACAATGATCTGGAGATACTAAATCTGAGGTTCTCAGGTTCACTCATTGACATGATATACAATGGTTGAAATCACTATTGAAAAATGTGTTTTGTGTATATTTGCTTCAACAACTTTGTGCTTTCCTGAAAGCGGTAACCAAGAGTTAAGATATCCCTAATGTTTTGTTTAAACTAATGAACAAATAGGCTTTGGGTCCTAAGTCAGAAAGTTTAGATCTATCCCTTAATATATATATATTATTACTCCTTTGGAAAATAGATATTTGATTATTAAGAACTGTGAAATTTACAAATCAAAATCTTCATCATTATCCTTCTAAGAGGATATAAATTTAGTGCTCTTAACCTGTTACCATTGTAATATTAACTAAATAAACAGATGTATTATGCTGTTCCAAGTTGCCTTTGCTATTTGAATTTCACTATTTCAATGGATTACTTGGAAACAGACACACACACACACACACACACACACACACATGCTTAGTTGCCTTATGTTTCACTTAGATTTGAAGAAGAAAGTTTTCAGAATACTTTTGGGAATTTTACCAAGTTTGTGGTTATATCCTGAATTATTTTCTTAAAAAGAAAACTCTACTAGTTCAAAAAAGGAAAGAGGGGGGAACAGAGAGAAAGAAGAAAAAGTTAAGCCAGGATGAATAGAAACCAGTGCACTCATTTACACTCTGTTGTCAGCAAACTAACTGGATGATACCTTAATCTCTCACAGATTAAATTACGTCTACTCTCACTTATAAACTCAGACTTTGTTTTGAGAGCTAGGTAACTGCTGATTTATATCATGAGGAAAGATAATGGGAAGAGAAAACTAGCTCTTAAACATGTCCCAGAAGGCAGTGAGTAAAAAAAAACAGAAAAATCAGATTTTGACATAAGAGAAGGACTTATTTTCTGCTTTGTTCAGTGATGGCCATATCCATCCCTAGAGAATGTAGGAAATCACTAGGGAAGTTTGTTTGTTTTTAACAGATTTGATCTTTTTAGAGCAGTTTTATTTTCATATCAAAATGAACAAAAAGGAATATTTTCCAAGCAGGTAATAGCAGTGATTCCAGAAGCAGAGTTGGGGATGGAGAGTTCAATGCCTTCAAATACCCTGTGACTCTGTGCTTTATATGGTTCTACACATCATCACAATAGGATTAGGGATAGCTGGACTTTTGTCATTTTTATTATTTTTTTCTCTCACTATGCAAGTCTGTTTTATTATTTTTAAAAGCTGCAGCAAGGTGGCAAATTAAACTCATAACTTAGATGTGCAGAGAAAACACATTTTGTCATTTGGTATTCCAAGCCCCTTCCAACACATTAGCTGAGTGAAAAATTAAACAGATAGTCAGGCATCTAGTTGAGCTGGATAATTTAAATGGCCATTAAAAAATTAAAAATTTCGTTTAAGTAAGTTTAGACAGTCCCTCAACCAGCCTCCTCCTTCTCTTCTGATATCTCTAAAATGGCTTTAGAATGAATATGAAGAGGAGGCTTTATGCATGCTAGTGGAGGAAGGAATAAGGTCAAGTCCTTGGGAAAGGGGCCCTCTCTTCCTTTTGCTCACTGGGCCCAGGTCCTTTGTCTACCTGTCTGCTTCCTGGCTGCAGTTTGTTGAAATCTGCAGCTATCAGAGCCTGTGAATCAACCTCTCAGCTTGGGGAAGCCTGTACTGCAGTTCCTGTGGACTGCGGCTTTCACAAGTCTTCTAAGACTCCGATACCAGTTCAGTGGTGTCCCCCAGCCTCTGCTGAGGAGTGATCTCACCCTGCCACAGAGGCCGCATGGTGAAACTCTTGGCTCAGTGACTACAGGGGACCTCAGTGGCTGTACACTAGCAACCCTTAGAATCTGCTTGGTCTGATTGTGCCTCTCTTTTTTCTGTGGATTTCAGGTCTTCTTCATCCGTCTTTACTTTTGTCGACCTTACTTATTAAAATATTCTACTCTTGGCTCAAGCCTGTAATCCCAGCACTTTGGGAGGCCGAGGCGGGTGGATCACGAGGTCAAGAGATCGAGACCATCCTGGCCAACATGGTGAAACCCCGTCTCTACTAAAAATACAAAAACTTAGCTGGGCATGGTGGCTCGTGCCTGTAATCCCAGCTACTCAGGAGGCTGAGGCAGGAGAATTGCCTGAGCCCAGGAGGTGGAGGTTGCGGTGAGCCGAGATCGCGCCATTGCACTCCAGCCTGGGTAACAAGAGTGAAACTCCGTCTCAAAAAAAAAAAAAAAAAAAAAATTCTACTCTCCCACCTCACCTTTATACTAGAGGAACATCACAGTATTTGAGTCCTTCAATCTTAGCCCTCGGTGTGCTGTAGCAGGAAAAAAGTATTTAGCAATCCCTCCTGCTCCTCCCCTGAACACACACCTACCTGATTTCTAAGCATGTTTGTATTACCTAGAAGTTGGAGTCAGGTCCTCTCCTATCCTAATGTAATGAGCCCCTCCTCAGGGAGAGAGACTAAAATGAAACATGATTTATAGAAAAAGTTAAAATGCATTAGTGTCTGTGAATTATTATCTTTCTTATAAGTGACGTTGTGTTCCAAGAGTAGCATTTCCCAGGCCATCTTCTTATGTAATACCCACAGAAAAGGATGACATTTGAAAACCTTTGATTTCTTATCTATTTTAACTCTGACCATGTACAACAATGTTGAACATGTAATTTTGACCTGAGAAAAACGGCAAGAGTTTCATTGGAGAACAGTATAGATGATTCACTTTGAAAATGATAATATATTTCCAAACTATTTTAAACAAATAATAGAGATGTCATATTTATACTGCTTTGAAAAACACTTTAGCAATGGGATTCTGTTTTGAAAATTTTGCTCATACCTGTTTTTATTCCAACATACCACATCAGAGTGTGGTATTAAACTAATTGATAGATGTTCATTTACCTTTTGCTTGTAACACACGTAACAGTGGTGGGTGCTTACAAAACACAGTATTGCAAAGTCTATGTTTCTCTCTTATTGGACCACACAACTTAGAGCTAATGAGAACCTCTTTCACATACTCAGATGGATATCTTGCTTTTCATTTAAAAAATTTCAGTTTGTTGGCTTCAAAAGAAGGCAGACAGTTTCAACATTGTTGAAGTGACATGGTTTCCCAAGGGGAAGGCAGGTACAGAGATAGTGTAAGTGATCATTTATTATTTTGTAAATATCTGGAGACTGCATATTATAGTGAGCATACTTATAAAAGGACTGTCTTAGAAATGATCAAATACAGCCTAGCTTCTGATATAAACTAGAAAGGAAGGGGCTTTGCAGGTATGATGAAGTTGAGGAGGCCTATGAACTGAATGAGCCAGTTAGAATTAAAATATCAAAATGCCTGCTTATCATACTGTTGGGGAGACAGGAGCATCATCAAAGAAAAGATAGAATTTTAAATAAAATCATTGAATTTGGTAGAGTGTTCACTTTATAATACACATAACTTAAGCTCAATCTGATTAGCCAAAAGCCAGAAATACTATACTCATTTAAGACTGAGACTACAGGCATGTTACCAGAACTCTGGAGTAATAAAGAACTTAAAACTTTAAAAATAAACACCTCTTTAAGCCAGGTTAATCTAAGTCTTCAATTTTGAGTGGATAAGAAATAGCAAAGGAAATGAAAAACGGGAAATGCTGTCAGCTACCATATTAACTCTTCATTGAAGTTTTAACTCTGGCACACCCTTGGAAATGTTAACAAGGAAGATTTCAAGTATTCCCAGCTTTACAAATTTAAGAATACAAAGACTTACTAAATGCTAGATTCTACTTAAAGGAAGACATGTTATATAGAGCAGGTCACTGTAGAATACCATGTACAAAAACAGTTCTGACTTTCAAAAAATAATACCTATTTTTAAAGACAACTAATACTTCACTTAAATTTAAAAATAGAAAAAACAAAAAACAAAAAACAAAAAAAACAAGACATGATAGGCAAGCAGGATATTTTACAACAGCACGCATCACTTAGCTATTCTGGGAAAGGATGTTCAAATATTGATGAATAATAGCTCTCTGTTCTTTCTGTCTCTACAACCCTTAACAACTTATTAATCTAGCTAATCTTATTAGCAGTGGCAAAATGTCTATTCAAAGTCAATAATTAAGTTAAACATTCTCTTTTATGTCCAATGAGCCACTGTAACTAACAAACCAAAATGATGTCTGTATGTCTTTTTCAAAAGACTTTCAAGTCTCCCTATATATAAACTCTGGTACCTAAAATTCACAAACACACACACACACACACACACACACACACACACTAATTAAACAAAAGGAACTTCTTAGGCATTGGTGAAATAGAACTTCAAGACTGTCTTTTTTTCCCTTTTCCCTTTTTAAGTCCCATTTCCACCCCTTCTTTCCCCAGTTCAGGACCTCATGTTGTCTGATTTTCCCAACTTCTCCCAATAAAGTTCTTCTCAGAAAAGAATTTCCTTTGATTTATAGTTTACATAACTGAAAAGACTTCAACTGTCATTTCTCCAGAAGTAGGACTTTTTAATATGGGCATAGTATCAGAAAATCAGGCAGCAGAATCCCTAAAATCACATAGTCCTCTAAGGTAAATGTTTCTCAAAAAGTGATCCACAATCCCAGCATCAGAATCACCTGAGAACTTATAAAAAAGTCAGGCCTCTGTGCCCCACTCATCAATATTTTGATTCATTATGTCTGGGGTAAATCTCAGTTCTCAATGACTCTAAAATACAATAAAGTTTGAGTACTAATGATTTAAGTGTTAAGCGCATGGAGTTCGCCATCAGCAGATGTGGCTCTGCTTTATTTGTTGTGTAATTCTGGACAGTTTTATCTTTGTGGTGCATATTTCGCTCATCTGTAAGGTTCAAGATAATGACATCTCTTCCACAGGGCTGTTGTGATGAGATAATGCACGTCAAATGCCAAATCAGTCAGAACTTTTTTAGTATGAAAACTCAACTAGCTCACATGTGTGAAAAGTTGTGAGAAGATCTGGCTTCAGGGTGCACTTGATCCATAACTCACTAGAATATTTTTTCAGTCTCCATTTCTCATCTCTGACTTGTGCCATGTTGGCTTCAAACTCAATCTGACTATTCTTTTGTAACAAGATAGATGCAGAAAGTAAAACATGTCATCTTTCCAGGTTCAAATTTCAAAGGAAAGAGAAAGTGTTATTTTCTCTATTGGGCTGTCTGAGAAACTTTATCTGTTGGGAGGCACCCCTCTCTGGGTTTCTTGTCCTCCATACCTGTTGCTGAGTATGCCAAGAATGTGAGGCCCTGCCTGCTGACTGTTCTGTACCTGGATTATTTCTCAAGGTTCTGTTTGCAGTGAGCAATCCTGGGCAATCAGCTAATGTTCCTTTCAAGGTC